TTATAGAAAAAAGTTTAAGAAAGCTTTTTCTATAGAAAAAAGTTTAAGAAAGCTTTTTCTATAGAAAAAAGTTTAAAAAAACCTTTTCTATAGAAAAAAGTTTAAGATAGCTTTTTCTATAGAAAAAAGTTTAAGAGAGCTTTTTCTATAGAAAAATGTTTAAGAAAGCTTTTTCTTTAGAAAAAAGTTTAAGAAAACTTTTTCTATAGAAAAAAGTTTAAGAAAACTTTTTCTTTAGAAAAAAGTTTAAGAAAACTTTTTCTATAGAAAAAAGTTTAAGAAAACCTTTTCTATAGAAAAAAGTTTAAGAAAACTTTTTCTTTAAGAAAGCTTTTTCTATAGAGAAAAGTTTAAGAAAGCTTTTTCTATAGAAAAAACTTTAAGAAAGCTTTTTCTATAGAAAAAACTTTTAGAAAGCTTTTTCTATAGAAAAAAGTTTAAGAAAGCTTTTTCTATAGAAAAAAGTTTAAGAAAGGTTTTTCTATAGAAAATAAGTTTAAGAAAGCTGGTTGTATAGACGCAAGTTTAAGAAAGCTGTTTCTATAGAAACAAGATTAAGAAAGCTGTTTCTATAGAAACAAGATTAAGAAAGCTGTTTCTATAGAGAAAAGTTTAAGAAAGCTTTTTCTATAGAAAAAAGTTTAAGAAAGCTTTTTCTATAGAAACATGTTTAAGAAAGCTTTTTCTATAGAAAAAAGTTTAAGAAAGCTTTTTCTGTAGAAAAAAGTTTAAGAAAGCTTTTTCTATAGAAAAAAGTTTAAGAAAGCTTTTTCTATAGAAAAAAGTTTAAGAAAGCTTTTTCTATAGAAAAAAGTTTAAGAAAGCTTTTTCTATAGAAAAAAGTTTAAGAAAGCTTTTTCTATAGAAAAAAGTTTAAGAAAGCTTTTTCTATAGAAAAAAGTTTAAGAAAGCTTTTTCTATAGAAAAAAGTTTAAGAAAGCTTTTTCAATAGAAAAAAGTTTAAGAAAGCTTTTTCTATAGAAAAAGTTTAGGAAAGCTTTTTCTATAGAAAAAACTTTAAGAAAGCTTTTTCTATAGAAAAAACTTTTAGAAAGCTTTTTCTATAGAAAAAAGTTTAAGAAAGCTTTTTCTATAGAAAAAAGTTTAAGAAAGGTTTTTCTATAGAAAATAAGTTTAAGAAAGCTGGTTGTATAGACGCAAGTTTAAGAAAGCTGTTTCTATAGAAACAAGATTAAGAAAGCTGTTTCTATAGAAACAAGATTAAGAAAGCTGTTTCTATAGTTTCAGAAAGATTGTTCTATTGAAAAAAGTTTTTTCTATATAAAAAAATTAAAAAATGTTTCTTAAAAACAAAAAGTTCCATTTAAAAGCTTCTTTCGTAGACAAATTTTAAAAAGAACTTTATCATAAATGAAAATTAAAAAAGCTTTAAGAAAAACTTTAACATTTTAAATATCTTCTAAATTTAATATTAAAACGAATCATGCAATATGTTGGTAGACAACAATACTTTAAATCCCAAAAGGCAATATAAAAACACATACTTTCTATTTCCTGTCAAACATTAACAGAATGTTAAGGAGAAAAAGTCAAAATAAATACATTTGTATTTTGACAAAAGTAAATACAGCATACATTCATATTATGTTTGTATTTTTTTTTCATTAGTTAGTTTATTGAACTTTCTTTCACAGTATGTGACCCGGAATGAAAAAATTCTTTTTGTACATTTTGCTGTTATTTCTTTTTAAACTGATACAATTTTCAATAAAAATACAAACATACTTTTACTTACAGACACTCTTTTTCGCTTGTTTTGAAATTCTTTATAAAACGTACGAACATTTTAAAATTTAATACTCCAAAAAAGTCAAGGTTTTTAAGTTTTTAACGTTTTTGAACTTTCAGACATGAAAATAAAAAAGAATAAAATTCTACTTAAATTTAAACAATCTGAAAAAAAAGCAAAATACCATAAACAGCATAAACAAGAAACCAACCAAAGAATTAATCGCACTTACACACTTGAAAAACATGAAACCTTGACAGTGAATTCTCGGTTGTATGAGAATTTTAATTTTATTTTTTTTTTCGAATTTGGTAATTTCCATTTTCTTACTTCGGGTGAAATTTAGAAAAAAACAACAAGAAATATGATTTAAATTTAAATAATTTTTAAAATTTAAATAAAATTTATGGTGACTTGTCGAACACTGTAAAATTGTAAAATTTTCAATACAAAAAGCATTTTTGAACTATAAGAGCACAAAAATAATGTTTCTATGCTCTTTTAGAAAAAGCTTTTTTTCTAGAGTAAAAGCTTTTTTGAATTTTTTAAAACATAAAAGCCTTTTTAAATTTTTTTCAGTAAATTTATAACTTTTTTGACTCTTTTCTAACATAAAAGCTTTTTTCTAACGTAAAAGCCTTTTTTAATTTTTTTCTACAGTAAAAGCTTTTTATAACTTTTTATAGAAAAAGCTTTTTTTAAACTTTTTCTACATTAAAAGCTTTTTCACAGTAAAAGCTTTTTCTATAGAAAAAGTTTTTTTTTTTAACTTTTTTCATATAGTCAAAGCTTTTTTGAACTTTTTTTTCTTTCAAAATGATATTTTGAACGTTTTATATAGAAAAAGCTTACACTTTTTGTGTAGAAAAAGCTCTCTTGAACTTTTTTCCATAAAATAACCGTCTTGGACATTTTTCCATAAAAAAATATCTTGAACGTTTTTCTATAAAAAAGCTCTCTTGAATTTTTTTCTTTAGACAAATTTCTCTTGAACTTTTTTATATAAAGAAATCTCTCTTGAACTTTTTTCTATAGAAAAAGCTCTCTTGAACTATTTTCTGTAGAAAAAGCTCTCTTGAACTATTTACTATAGGAAAAGAACTTTTTTTTATACAAAAAGCTCTATTGAACTTTTTTCTATACAAAAAGCTCTATTGAACTTTTTTCTATACAAAAAGCTCTACTGAACTTTTTTCTATAGAAAAAGCTCTACTGAACTTTTTTCTATAGAAAAAGCTCTACTGAACTTTTTTCTATAGAAAAAGCTCTACTGAACTTTTTTCTATAGAAAAAGCTCTACTGAACTTTTTTCTATAGAAAAAGCTCTACTGAACTTTTTTCTATAGAAAAAGCTCTACTGAACTTTTTTCTATAGAAAAAGCTCTACTGAACTTTTTTCTATACAAAAACTCTATTGAACTTTTTTCTATATATAAAGAAATCTCTCTTGAACTTTTTTCTATAGAAAAAGCTCTCTTGAACTATTTTCTGTAGAAAAAGCTCTCTTGAACTATTTACTATAGGAAAAGAACTTTTTTTTATACAAAAAGCTCTATTGAACTTTTTTCTATACAAAAAGCTCTATTGAACTTTTTTCTATAGAAAAAGCTCTATTGAACTTTTTTCTATAGAAGAAGCTCTACTGAACTTCTTTCTATAGAAAAGGCTCTACTGAACTTTTTTCTATAGAAAAAGCTCTACTGAACTTTTTTCTATAGAAAAAGCTCTACTGAACTTTTTTCTATAGAAGAAGTTCTACTGAACTTCTTTCTATAGAAAAAGCTCTACTGAACTTTTTTCTATAGAAAAAGCTCTATTGAACTTTTTTATATAGAAAAAGCTCTATTGAACTTTTTTCTATAGAAAAAGCTCTATTGAACTTTTTTCTATAGAAAAAGCTCTATTGAACTTTTTTCTATAGAAAAAGCTCTATTGAACTTTTTTCTATAGAAAAAGCTCTATTGAACTTTTTTCTATAGAAAAAGCTCTATTGAACTTTTTTCTATAGAGCTTTTTTCAGTAGAGCTTTTCCTATATGAAAACAATTTCAAAAGAACTTTGTCTATGGAAAAAAGTTCAACAGAGCATTTTCCTATAGAAAAAAGTTCAATTGAACTTTTTCCATAGCAAAAAGTTCAATAGAACTTTTTCTATAGAAAAAAGTTCAATAGAGCTTTTTCTATAGAAAAAAGTTCAATAGAGCTTTTTCTATAGAAAAAAGTTCAATAGAGCTTTTTCTATAGAAAAAAGTTCAATAGAGCTTTTTCTATAGAAAAAAGTTCAATAGAGCTTTTTCTATAGAAAAAAGTTCAATAGAGCTTTTTCTATAGAAAAAAGTTCAATAGAGCTTTTTCTATAGAAAAAAGTTCAATAGAGCTTTTTCTATAGAAAAAAGTTCAGTAGAGCTTTTTCTATAGAAAATGCTCTGTTGAACTTTTTTCCATAGACAAAGTTCTTTTGAAATTGTTTTCATATAGGAAAAGCTCTACTGAAGTTTTTTATTAAAAGATATCTGTTGAACTTTGTTTTATTATTTATATTTATTTTTTAATATTTTTTCTATAGAAAAAGCTTTTTTCTATCGAGCTTTTTTTAAATAAAATGGTTTTTTGAACGTTTTTGTATAAATGAGGCTTTTGAACTTATTTCTGTAGAAAAAGTTTTTTGGACTTTTTAGAAAAAAATATTGAACTTCTTTTATGAAGAGCTTTTTTTGAAGTAGTTTAAAAGCCTTTTACGACGATTTGTTTATGTAAATCTGCCGTACTTTGAGGGTTAACTGTCTAAAACATAATATGAGCCTAAAGCACGTTTCTGTTCGCTTCTGTGGTTTTCTTTGTATTCAGCATCTTTTTTGTTCTCATAGAACGTTGTTTGTGGCTCGTATCGTTCGACATCGAGAAGACAGATTTTTACACATTCTTTTTCTTTTCGTTTTAAGCTATAAAATCATTATGCAGATGGTAAATTGAAACTAGTAGAAATTTAAAGCTGAGCACAGCAAAAAAAAAAAAAAACAGAATAACAAAAAAAGTAATAGCAGTATAAGAAAACACGCAAATACTCATTAAAGCAAACAGGTGACCAATAGACCACACAGTGCATGAAAGTGCACTTTAGTTTAGCTAACAAGTTAAAGTTTCCTTTTTCTCGACAATTAGTTTTTCATTTCCTGTAAATATACTGCACACATTGTCCTTTACGTGACATTGTATGTGCTGAAATAAACAGTGTTTTACGCATCAACAAGATGTGGCAATGGCAAGTGTCAAATGAGCAACGAAGAGGTTTGTTGTTGCTAATGGCAACAACAGTCATTTGTTTCACTTGTTTGCCTAAGTGTCAGGCTCAAGGCACTAAATACGGTCTATTGACTCCGGACAAATCTTGTCATGATAGTGCCGGTGTGGTGCAATGGACAGGTGGACAATTTGAATTTCCTTGCCCCTCCACGAAATCATTATTTAAGAGTTCCGGCAAATTTATACCCAAAAATGTTATTGCAACACGGGCTCAAATTATAAGGGATACGATATTTTTGGCTTTGCCGCGTTATAGAAAGGGAGTACCGGCTACGTTGGTGAAGACGACTATAACGCCGGGTACCTGTTCCACTACCTTTACCCCCTATCCCTGTTGGGACATGCAGGAGGAGGGGAATTGTAAGGCTTTGCAATCCGTAGTCGATTTGGTTGTGGATCAGAATGAGGTCATCTGGGTTTTGGATACTGGCATCGTCAATACTCTGGAAACACCCATACGCAAATGTCCCCCAAAAGTTGTGGCGATTTCAGCCAAAACTGGAAAATTATTAAAAACAATTGATTTGGATGGTTTAACTTCTACTAACTCTCGTTTACAATACTTGGCTGTTGACTATGCTCCCGATGGCGGTTGCTTTGTGTATGTTAGTGATGCTGCCAATCGTGCCATAATCGTTTTTAACATTCAAGCCGATCGTGGTTTTCGTATTGTCTTGCCCAAGGCTGTTACAACTGGTTGCCGTTTACGTGATGTTCTTTATATTGCATTGATACGTCAAGATTGCGGTACCACCGAATTGTATTTCACGTATTTGAGTACGAGTAAATTGTTTTCGCTTAAATCGGAATATTTGAGAAGTGGTGTGGCGGATGGTAAAATTATGGGTAAGTTTTTTTAATGGAAAGATTTAGAAAAGCCCTATTTATAAAAAATAAATTTAAAGAGCTTGCTTCACAAATCATAAGAAAAAGCCTTTTCCATGAAAAATAGTTAAAAAATTTTTCATTCTTAAGAAAAATGTTTAAAAAAGTTTAAGAAATATTTTTCTATAGAAAAAAGTATAAGAAAGCTTTTTCTATAGAAAACAGTTTAAGAAAGCTTTTTCTATAAAAAAAGTTTAAGAAAGCAGTTCCTATAGAAAAAAATTTAAGAAAGCTGTTTCTATGGGAAAAAATTTAAAAAAGCTTTTTCTTTTTTAAGAGAGCTTTTTCTATAGAAAAAAGTTTAAGAAAGCTTTTTCTATAGAAAAAAATCAAAAACAGCTTTTTGTATAGAAAAAGTTTAAGAAAGCAGTATCTATAGAAAAAAGTTTAAGAAAGCTTTTTCTATAGAAATAAGTTTTAGAAAGCTTTTTCAATAGAAAAAAGTTTAAGAAAGCTTTTTCAATAGAAACAAGTTTAAGAAAGCTTTTTTTATAGAAAAAAGTTTAAGAAAGCTTTTTCTATAGAAAATGGTTTAAGAAAGCTTTTCTTATAGAAAAAGGTTTAAGAAAGCTTTTTATATAGAAAAAAACTTAAAGAAAGCTTTTTATATAGAAAAAAACTTAAAGAAAGCTTTTTCTATAGAAAAAACTTAAAGAAAGCTTTTTCTATAGAAAAGAGTTTAAGAAAGCCTTTTCTATAGAAAAAAGTTTAAGAAAGCTTTTTCTATAGAAAAAAGTTTAAGAAAGCTTTTTCTATAGAAAAAAGTTTAAGAAAGCTTTTTCTATAGAAAAAAGTTTAAGAAAGCTTTTTCTATAGAAAAAAGTTTAAGAAAGCTTTTTCTATAGAAAAAAGTTTAAGAAAGCTTTTTCTATAGAAACAAGTTTAAGAAAGCTTTTTCTATAGAAACAAGTTTAAGAAAGCTTTTTCTATAGAAAAAAGTTTAAGAAAGCTTTTTCTATAGAAAAAAGTTTAAGAAAGCTTTTTCTGTAGAAAAAAGTTTAAGAAAGCTTTTTCTATAGAAAATGGTTTAAGAAAGCTTTTTCTTTAGAAAAAAGTTTAAGAAAGCTTTTCTTATAGAAAAAAGTTTAAGAAAGCTTTTCTTATAGAAAAAAGTTTAAGAATGCTTTTTCTATAGAAAAAAGTTTAAGAAAGCTTTTTCTATAGAAAATGGTTTAAGAAAGCTTTTTCTATAGAAAAAAGTTTAAGAAAGCTTTTTTATAGAAAATGGTTTAAGAAAGCTTTTTCTATAGAAAAAAGTTTAAGAAAGCTTTTCTTATAGAAAAAAGTTTAAGAAAGCTTTTTCTATTTTTTATAAAAAGAAAGCTTTTTCTATAGAAAAGAGTTTAAGAAAGCTTTAAAAAGCGTTTAAAAAGTTTTTTCTGCGGAAAAAGAGTTTAAGAGTTTTTTTCTGTAGAAAAAAAGTTTTCTTTTTAAAAAGTTTAGAAAAGATTTTTCTACAGAAAATAATTTAAAATAGCTTTTTCCATAGAAAAAGTTTAAAAATGGATTTTCTATAGAAAAGCTTTTTTTAAAAAGTTTTTCTATAAACAAACGTTAAAAAGCTTTATCTTTAGAAAAAAGTTTAAAAAAGCTTTTTCTTTAGAAAAAAGTTTCAAAATTCTATTTCCATTGAAAAATTTCTAAAACAGCTTTTTCTATGGAAAAATATTTAAAAAAGCTTTTTCTTTTAGAAAAAGCTTTTTCTTTTAGAAAAAGTTTTTTCTTTTAGAAAAAGTTTTTTCTTTTAGAAAAAGTTTTTTCTTTAGAAAATTTTTTAAAATCTTCAAAAAAATAACTAATTCTATAGAAAATCCTAAAAAGTTTTTTTTTAGAAAAAAGTTTAGAAAAGCTTTTTCTTTAGAAAAAAAAGCTTTATAGAACAAAATTTTACAAAGGCTTTTTGTTTTCCAACGTTTTCTTTAGAAAAAAAATAATTTTTTTAAAAAAGTTTAGAAAAGCTGTTAGCAAAGAAAATTTTTTGTAAAAATGCTTTTTCTTTGCATAGAAACATTTTTGAAAAAAGTTTTTTCTTTAGAAAAAAGCTTTATAAAAGAAATTTTAAAAAGTTTTTTGTTAAAAAAGCTTGTTTTCCAATTTTCTCTTCAAAAAAATACTTTAATTTTAAACAATTAAGTTTCTATTTCATCTTTTTTCTCATAATTATGCATATGCAGTGTATAATTCCCATAAGTAGCTTTCGTCTGTTAAACATTATTTTCGTCTTATCATAACCATTATTTTTTATAATCCTATTTTATTACTGTTACTCTTTCTTTTCTATCAGACCTTGGCAAAAAACCATCACGTATGGTCATTATTGGTACGGATAATGGTTCAGCCATATTTTTCCGTAATGAAGGTGACGCTGAAGTATTCCGCTGGGATACCAATACACCATTCGCTGAAGCAAATTTTAAGCCTGTTTATCGTTCGCCCACCTGTCAGTTGGCCACACATGCCGTACCCGATTACAAACGCAATACCATGCGTGTGTTACAAAGTAATTTTCCGGATTTTATGCAAAATCGTGTGGGTTGCGGAGCCATCCAACAATTGACAATGATGCAGGGCTGTTGGTAGGTGAATGGAATGGAATAACTGCAAAAATAACAATGAAAGACTAAATATTGTTGGAAAATGATGGCTAAAGGGTTTAGTTTATGGTATTTATTTTCTATATATGTATGAATTATGTGTAAGAGCCTTATGCAGTTGTTAGTACAGTGAAGTAATTTGAGTGAGTGATTAGTGTGTGAGAAGTTTTAGATTACTTCATATTCAGTTTTAGTTTTGCATTTAACAAGAGTAATTTAAATTTTTAAACTCCAATTTTGATACGAAATTACTGCTGTCATTTTAACTCGCAAGTATGCAAAAGTTTTGCTATTTTATTTTTCAAACCATTTGTCAATTTCAATTTATTACTTTTATTTCCCTTAACTCTTTTACAGGCATAGAACATAAATTTAAAACGAAGGAGGAAAACTTAAATTAAATTTTTGAATTAAAAGTAGATTTTCCTTTCAGAACTTTGTAATGTTTTTTTACTTATGACTATGTTAGAGCAAATGAAACACATTAGGTACAAACATTAGAAAACATTTGTTATTAATAGACATTAAATGTTATTTTAGTTTAAAATTCTTTTGCTATTTAAATACTTTCTTATAGGTATTTAGGTATTTTTTATTTTGGTGTGGGGTTATTTTAGTTAAGATAATTTATTATAGCTAATTTTAGTTGAAGTTTTTAAAGAAAAGTTTTTCCTATGTAACAACGATTCGTTTAGCAGAAAATTATATGTTTTAGTATGTATAGAAATAAATTATAAGTATTGGTTAAATAAAATTAAATTTTTATAAAAACAATTTGTAATTTCGTTTATTTTAAATGAACTTTAATTGAAAGTTGCACAAGTCAGCAATTAAACTCTGGGAAATGTGTTATAATTCTCAAATAGCTTTTTTAATCTTTTCAAAGAAAAAAACATAAAACTTTTTTCTAAGAAAAAACTTTAATTGAACTTTATTCTAAGCAACAAAGCTTTATTGATTTTTTTTGAAGAAAAAAGCTTTATTGAAATCTTTTGTAATAAAAAGCTTCATAGAACTTTTTTCTACGAAATAAACTTTATTGACCTTTTTTTCTAAGAAAATCCTTTATTGAACTATTTCCTTATATAAAAGCTTTTTGAACTTTTGCTTTATTTAAACTTTTTCTAAGATAAAAGCGTTATTTACACTTTTTTAGTTTTAAAAATATTTTTTTCTACGAAATAAGCTTTTATGAACATTTTTCTAAGAGAAAGCTTTATTGAACTTTTTTTTTAAGAGAAGGCGTTATTGAAGTTTTTTTCTACGAAATAAGCTTTATTGAACTTTTTTTCTACGAAATAAGCTTCATTGAACTTTTTTCTAAGAAAAAACTTTATTGAACTCATTCCTTATATAAAATCTTTTTTAACTTTTTGCTATACTGAAAGTTTATTTTGAAGAAAAAAACTTTATTTAAACTTTTTGTAAGATAAAAGCGTTATTGAAACTTTTTTAGTTTTTTAAAAACTTTTTTCTAAGAAATAAGCTTTTTTGAACTTTTTTCCTCGAAATATGCTTTATTGAATTTTTTTATAAGAAAAAACTTTATTAAACATTTTCGTTATAAAAAAAGCTTGTTTAACTTTTTGCTATACTGAATGTTTATTTTGAAGAAAAAAACTTTATTTAAACTTTTTCTAAGATAAAAGCGTTAATTAACTTTTTTCTACGAAATAAGCTTTACTGAAATTATTTTCTAAGAAAAAACTTTATTAAACTTTTTCCTTATATAAAAGCTTTTTTAACTGTTTGCTATACTGAAAGTTTATTTTGAAGAAAAAACTTTATTTAAACATTTTCTGAAATAAAAGCGTTATTGAAACTTTTTAGTTTTTTAAAGAAATAAGCTTTTATGAATTTTTTTCTAAGAGAAAGCTTTATTGAACTTTTTTTCTACGAAATAAGCTTTATTGAACTTATTTTCTAAGAAAATACTTTATTGAACTTTTTCCTTATATAAAAGCTTTTTTAACTGTTTGCTATACTGAATGTTTATTTTGAAGAAAAAACTTTATTTAAACTTTATCTAAGATAAAAGCGTTATTGAAACTATTTAAAGACTTTTTTTTAAAGAAATAAGCTTTTTTTTTAACTTTTTTCTAATAGAAAGCTTTATTAAACTTTTTGCCAAGACGAAAGCTTTATTAGACTTTTTTCTTACAGAAAGTTTATTTTAAAAAAATAAGCTTTATTTAAACTTTTCCTAAGATAAAAGCATAATGGAAACTTTTTTAGTTTTTAAAGATTTTTTTCTAAGAAATAAGCTTTTTTGAACTTTGTTTTAGGAGAAAGCTTTTTTGCAATTTTTACTAAGACAAAAGCTTCATTGAAAATTTTACTAAGACAAAAGCTTTTTGAACTTTTTTGTAAGACATAAGCTTTATTGAACTTTTTTCTGAGAAAAAAAGCCTTTCTTCAAAAAAAAGAAAAACTTTTTTAAACCTTTTTCTAAGAAAAACGAGTTTTCTTTTACTTTTTTTCTAATAGAAAGCTTTATTGAAGTTTTTACTACGACATAAGCTCTTTTAGCTTTTTTCGAAGAAGCTGCCTTTTTTTATTTTTCTTCTTTTTTCTGCAAAAGCTTTTTTCTCTAAAATAATTTTCAATTAGAATTTTCTCTTTTAATTATTGTGAAAAAATAATCTTGAACTTTTTGTAAGAAGAACGCTTTTTTAAAAAAAGCTTTTTTTAAATTTTTGAAAAAATGTTTTTTTTTTTAATATTTTTATAAGAAAAACATTTTTTTATATTTTTATAAGAAAAAAATTTTGTGATATTTTTCTAAGAAACAACATTTTTTAATTATTTTTCTTAGGAAAAAAGCTTTTTTAATTTTTATAAGAAGAAAGCTTTTTTGAACTTTGTTCTATGAATAAAGCTTTTTGAACTTTTTTCTTTAAAAATATTTTTTCAACTTTTTTTTTAAAAAAGCTTTTTTGAAATTTTTCTAAGAAAAAATCATTTTACTTAAAAACTCTTTTTGAACATTTTTGGAAAAGGTTCTAATAAAGAACCTTTTTTAACTTTTTCTAAAAAAAAAAAAAATAACTTTTTGTAATTTTTTTCTGAAAAAATTCTACAAAAAGTCGTTTTTTAACTTTTTCTGTGCAAAAAGCTTTTTTAAACACTATAATACGTTTTCTTACAAAAAAATTTTGAACCATTTTTGGAACGTTTCTCTTTAAAAAACTAAAGAGATATGTTTGAATTTTTTTCTTTAAAAAGCTTGTTTTTTTTACAAAATAAATCTTTTATGAACTTATTTCTATAAAAAAGCTTTAGTGAAGTTTTTTCTTCACTTAAGTTTTGTCTGTTTGTTACTCTAAATTTTTTGTTAAAAAATCGTTCAAACATTTTGAAAGGAACATTAGTGCGTATGAGTGTTTTTTTATATACCAGTAATAATCATACGTCCAGATGAACAGGAGTGAAGTATAAGATTACAATGATTTTTTTTAATATTAAAAATATCTTTATTTCTTTACAATTCTGCACAATTTTAATACCAGGTATAAATACATACTTACCTTTATAAAATTTGATTAAAAAAAAAATACTTCAATTGTTTTAGCTAAAAATGTGTCTGTGCGTTCCAATTATCTTAAACATTTCAAAGTAAGGGTAATTCATAAAAACAAAATCCTCTTACATGCGCTAAGACAATAAACAGGAGACGATGAAACATTAGACTGGAACATATATGTAGTAATAAACGTAAATACATATGTATATGGAGCTAAATACATATATGTGGCGTCGGTCCAAGTAAATTTCTTGTTAAGACGAACATAAAAATCTCCTCTGTTTTTATTGTTATAAGCTATAAAAATAGCTTAACATAAAAACTTTTTTTTTGTTTTTGGCGAAAAAGTGGATATGATATTTAAAAGGGATTTATTTAGAATTTTATTGGTCTTGGAGACAGCTGCTGTAAATCTAAGGTAATTAGTTTATTGCAGACACATACAAATGTATGTTTATGTATAAAAGGTTCTCAAAAGTAGTCAAATTTATAGACAATAAAAAACATCGACTTATTTCATGAAAATATCATTTGGCCATTTTAATATTTAAACACTGAAACACTAGTACAAATGTGTATACATTTTTAAGAAATATTTATTACAAACCTTTTAATAAACTTTTATTATTCGTCTTTTTATTGTAGAATTTGACAGCAGTTATATGCTTAAGGCTTTAGAAAATACTCTCGATTTTGTTTTATGACCATAAATGTTTATGAAAACAATTATGCGCCATAGAAGATTTATAAGTATTATGTGAAAATTATGTATTATTATAAATATAATTATTTGTTTATTACTTTTTTCATATTAAGTTTTAAGACAAAAGAATTCTGTTTTTTTTTTTTTTTTTTAAGCAACAAAAGTCTGTGATTTTGTCTACCTTACAACGTTTATTATTTATTTTTGAATATATCTTTTATCTTTTACTAAAATTGGTTAAAGTTATTAAAGTTCTTTTAAAGATATCAAGATATTTAAACTCACCATTAAATTGAATAATTTTTTAACATATTTAAAAGTATACCTTCAGGAGTCAAAATTAATATCAAAAGTCAGGCATGGAAAATTGGTACAGAGTTTAGTCTATAGTCTAGTCTATAGTCTAGTCTATAGTCTAGTCTATAGTCTAGTCTATAGTCTAGTCTATAGTCTAGTCTATAGTCCTAGTCTATGTAGTCATAGTATGTCGATAGTTTAGTCCTATAGTCCTAGTATATAGTCTAGTCTATAGTCCTGGGTCTATAGTCTAGCCTATAGTCTAGTCCTATAGTCTAGTCCTAGAGTCTAGTCTATTAGTCTAGTCTATAGTCCTAGGCTATAGTCTAGTCTATAGTCTAGTCTATAGTCTAGTCTATAGTCTAGTCTATAGTCTAGTCTATAGTCTAGTCTATAGTCTAGTCTATAGTGCTAGTCTATAGTCTAGTATCCGATCTTTTCTAGTCCTATAGTCTAGTCTATA